TCCACGGCTATCACTCACAGAATTCACAACGTACGGCACAACTAAGTATCGCCTGGACATACGGAAATCTTCAAAGTAAAAATATATAGCACTACATATACATTTTTTTTATGAAAACAATACATATCGAATTTTTTTTAATTATTTTATTATAATTTTATTCTTCTACGAGTTATATTTAATCAGCTCTTTTATTTTTAAAGCACTTAATTAAATAAATAGCTTTCGCACTATTGTCAAAATAACTTTGTACAAACATTTATTGAAATAATAAAGAACTAAACTTAAAAAATTTAAAAATATCTTTCTTTTACGAAACTCATCCCCGCGAATATAAATTCATTGTAATGACTCTGGACGACGGCTGAGGATACCCCAGCAAAAACTAAATATTTCTGAACGTCACCAAAAAGTGTCGTTACACAATGTTATTTGACATTTTGCAAATTATGTTAGGGTATTCACCGCACACCTCCGTACCTTAGAGCAATCGTCACTGATCTAAATGGATAAAACCTAACCCCTTCAAAATTGATGCTATATTTGCCCGCTTATCAAATATTTAAAAAAAATACTGAAATTAATATAAAAGATCAAGAATATAAAGACGCATTCGAAAAACTTAAAACTCTTCTTAAATCTGACCCTATTCTCGCTCCACCCGATTTCAATAAGAAATTCACCCTTATTACAGATGCGAGTAACCTTGCGCTTGGTGCAATACTCATGCGAAATGGTAGAACAATTTGTTATGCTAGTCGTGCACTAAAACCATATGAACTAAACTATAGTACTATTGAGAAAGTGCTCTTAGGAATTGTTTGGGCAACAAAATATTTTCGCCCATATTTGTTTGGTCGCAAGTTTTCAATTCAATTCAGAAATAACCAAATTCTAAGTTATTCTAAGTTAGATGGAAGATTGAACTTAATGAATATGACTTTGATATATCACACATCAAAGGAAAAGAAAATGTCGTAGCAAATGGGCTCAGTAGACATGTGAAAGAGAAAAGTATAAACGAATTATATATTAACTTAAATGAACTGTTTAATGAAGACATTGAAACTGTTCACAGTGCAGATACTGACAGTGAGCACATCATTAGCATTTCAGAAAAGCCACTCAATCTATTTAAAAGACAAATATTTTTGCAGAAATCGAAAAGGGAGTATCTTAAAACAAAAGTTTTATACGAAAGGAAAACTAGAGAGATAATTGGGGTTTCATCAAATAGTAATCTTCTACAAATAATGCAAGATAAATTGCCTGAAAAAGAATTGATTATAGGATACTGTAGCGATAATCAATTATATTTACAATTTCAAGAACTGTACTCAAAATACTTTGCAAATAACACCAAGATACGAGTATTAAAATCGAACAAGTTACTGGAAGATATTACTGATAGGGACAAGTTACTTAATATAATTGAAGAGGAGCATACTAGAAATAGTCATAGAGGTGTTAATGAAATATTTTCAGAGCTGAAACTAAAGTATTACTACCCTGATTTTCTAAAAACAATACAAAAATTTATCAATAACTGCGATATATGTAATCTAGCCAAATATGATAGGCAGCCACTGAAACACTGCCTTAATATAATAGAAACCATACTTTGTCGCAATGAAATCGTTCATTTTGATATTTGGTATCCTCAAAGAAATGTTATGTACTTAACCAGTATTGATAAGTTCACGAAGTATACAACAGCGCACGCTTTGAAGGACAGATCATGGATCTCGATATTAGAATGGATCAAAATGAGAGTTCAATATTTAGGTAAACCTAAAAATATAGTCACAGATAATGAGCTAGATATTGTATCTTTAAAAAAATTCTTTAAAGAAAACATATCTTTTAGGTTTACAATCACGTATAAAAAATCAGGTAATAGGGACATAGAGAGGTTACTTCTCACTTTGAACGAACATATCAGGTTATTTAACGCCGACGTAGACAACAAGGATGGTATAGATGAGAAAGTATTTAAATATATTACCCTATACAATAACACTATACATTCTACTACAAAAAATAGACTTATAGATCTTATAAATAATTTAATATCTAAAGAAGAACTTTTTAACTTATCTGACCAAATACATAAAAATAAAGTAAACAAAATTAACACAATAAACATAAAGAAGAACAATGTTAATACCGAGCAATTTGAAAATCAATTTGTAGATAATAATAGAGTTAGTAGAAGAGAATTACATATTGTCAAATAACAACAAATTTAAAAAAATATATAAAACACAAGTAAAGCGAAAGTTTAAATTTCAAAACAATAATAATAATTAATAACATTAAAATTTAAATATGATTTTGTAACTTAATTACATTAATTGAAATAAACGTTCAACAGGGCCTGTTGAATATAGGGGTGAGGGTGTCATATTAGGGTGGCTCACGTTATAAGGGGGAAAATTAAAAATGAAGTTTTGAATGAGCGCACCCCCTAGGAATATGCCATCGACCAAAAAAATTATATTCCCAAAGTTTTGGAGCAATAGGATTAAAAATTACGTTGCAGAAATTTTTCAATTCAAGGTCATTTTTTATCTTTGTTACTTGTTTCAACAGTTATTAATATATACTCATTTGATAGATAATGAAAATATCTTTTTAATAAGATATTGATGAGCAAAATCGGTTAAAAATTATGCGCAAAACACAATAATTAGTTGAGCGACTGTGCTCTGTTTTCTATTTCATACCTTTTAGCTGGCATGCACAATTACGTAATAGGTATATGCTACAATTTAGTTAACTATTTATAAAAAATTATAATTTCAAAAAAACCCTTTTTTTCAGTAATTAATATATTGTGTTTATTATGTTAGGATATGTGTAGGATATGTGAAGGATAATTTTTATGATAATGTTCGACTACTTGCAAAACATATTGTTTTTCCTCTTCATATTTTGTCGAATTATAATTCATCATAAGCGTAATTCGTTTTTCTATACAATCATTTATCATATAAAGTCCGGCACAGAATTCAAGTGCATCTCTATAATATTGCGTCTCCATCCATGGCGAAGGATCGAAACTGATAAAACTATTAGATAGGCAAAAACGATCAAAAAAATTTGTTATCTCTTCGGTCACGAAATCAATAAGGTTCTTTGAGGAAAATAACTTCATTAGTGGGTTCTCACTCTTTATCTAACCAGAGATAGCTGGGAGCTTGGATCTGTGACCGGTAACTCTACAGTTACTATCTGCGCAGATGGCTCAAAGAAGGAACGGGAGCAGGTATCTTCTCGAAAGATATGCAGATAAGACAGTGCTACCGAATCCCTGATACTTACAGCGTCTTTCACGGCGAGATATATGCTATCGAAAAAGAGGTCAACATTGGACAACAAAGTATAATTCGTCCTTCGAATATCACGATTTTTGTAGATAAGCCGCACTGAAAGCAATTGAATCTAAATTCCAAGATAGTATTAAAATGTCGTGATTTACTGATGAGCATCAAGCACCATAAGGTCTCTCTTTGCTGGACATAGTACTTTTCGAATACTTGGACATAGCAATGTTGAAGGTAATGAACTAGCAGATTGTAACGACACGGATTCGTCGTTTTAATTTGCTGAGGTATTACTCAGTCGCGGTCCGGGTCGTTGCAATAAATTTGTTTTATTGACTAGTTCGAAGCTGGTAAACCAATGAGAATTAAAAGACCGTTTGTTTTTATTATTTAAAATTTATTTAAAGTTTTTTTAAATAACTTATTCTAGTCTTGATTCTACTCAGTAAGTTTTATCCAAAGACGTCAGAACATCAAAGGGTTTTTCCAAATCTACGTAATTAGTTTCTAGCCAAAGACGTCAAAACATCAAAGGCGTTTATAAAATCTATTCAATAATTTTTACCCAAAGACGTCAGAACAT